AGCACTCTAATTGCCAGACATAATGAGGGCAAATTCCTAGGCCTATACCTCGACAACAACCTGAATTTCAGCACCCATATTCAACACATCAAAAAAAGTATCCAAAACAGTTGGGATCCTCTCCAAGATACGATACTATGTGCCACAAAATGCCCTTCTCACACTATACCATTCACTCATTTATCCATACCTCACCTATGCTATTTGTGCTTGGGGATCAACTGCAGCAATACACCTAAAGCCAATAATAACTCAACAAAAAGCTGCAATAAGAATAATCACTAATTCCCATCCCTGGCAACACCTCCCCCACACTCTTTATAGATCTAAACTTATTCCCTGTTCAGAACATCCACACTTACTACTGTGCAATCTACATATACAGGACCTTAAATTCCAATATTAACCTTGACCTAAAATGCTTTCTTGATAGTTGTGGCAGGACCCACAGGCATAACACCAGACACAAAGGCAACAGTTAGGCAACTTTATTCCGAAACGTTTCGCCTACACAGTAGGCTTCTTCAGTCGAATACAGAAAGTAGGCAGGAACATTAAAGATGTGAAGACGATGTAATCAGTCCATCACCCTTAAAGTCGTAGATTTGAGGTTGTCAGTCCCTCAGCCTGTAGAAGTTCAGTTCCATAGTCAGGAACTATCTGAAGATCAAGCGACAGTGCGGAGACTTAAATACTGTCAGAAGGAGAGGTGCAGAGTAGTAGTAGCGAGAAAGCAGCCACTGAGAGGACACGTCCCTCTCAGATCAAACATTTCTCACTTGAAAAAGTTGTCCAAGGTGTTTTCTGTACCAAGATGCCATGTGTTGCAGTGTCTGACAGGATGAATATCAAAATGGTATACAATACCGACAGGTATTGCCTAACTGTTGCTTATGTGTCTTAATTACCAACCTGTCAGTATTGTATACCATTTTGATATTCATCCTGTCAGACACTGCAACACAATGACATCTTGGTACAGAAAACACCTTGGACAACTTTTTCAAGTGAGTAATGTTTGATCTGAGAGGGACGTGTCCTCTGCATTAGCACATTAACCCCTTAGCTGTCCAAACGTAGATCTACATTCTTACCGCTAGCGCTCCAAATGTAGATCAACGTTTTATTTTTCCTGCCTCCAAATTTGGGACGACTGGCCTGAGATGCCCGGTCAGTATAGAATGGGTCTTAACACTCAATTGGCCTGCATAGTATTAAAGAAATCTGGGACCACTTAGTACTTTGTGGGAGCACCAGTTCAACTGAGCGCCAGCTAGAGCAAATGGCATGGCAAACACCAGGAATTCACTGATGCCACGTCATATTAACACTCCCCTTTTATGAAGAAAGTGATGTTGACCAAGAGTTTAGTGGCTTTGAGATGGATGTGGCCACATGGATGAGGCCTGGTCACAGACTGGGCCGTGGGGGCGTTGACCCCTGGAACTCTCTCCAGGTGTACAAGTGGTTAAGGAAATATCAAAAACCTCAATAATAACCCATGTGCAACACTTTTGAAACATCCTTTCAATTTTCATACCACTGATAGTATCATCCTGCCAGAATGTCCTATAACCTATACCTTAAGTAAAGAGAAAATTCTTGAACGTACAATACGTGTTTGGCAGGCCAGGTGGCTGGCAGGCTGGGTGGCTGGCTGGCAGGGTGACTGGCTGGCCGGGTGGTTGGCTGGCTGAGTGGTTGGCTGGCTGAGTGGCTGGCAGGCCGGGTGGCTGGCTGGTTGCCTGGCCAGGTTGCTGGCTGGCCAGGTGGCTGGCTGGCAGGCCAGGAGGCTGGTAGGCCGGGTGGCTGATTGACTTTGGCCGTTTCTTTCTCCATGTGTATCTATCTCTGCCTTCTCTGTATCTCTGTCCCTATCTCACAGGCCTGGTGGCTAAAGCTCCCGCTTCACACACGGAGGGCCAGGGTTCGATTCCCGGCGGGTGGAAACATTTTGACACGTTTCCTTACACCTGTTGCCCTGTTCAGCTAGCAGCAAATAGGTACCTGGGTGTTAGTCGACTGGTGTGGGTAGCATCCTGGGAGACAAGATTAAGGACCCCAATGGAAATAAGTCCTCGATGACGCACTGACTTTCTTGGTTATCCTGGGTGGCTAACCCTCCGGGGTTAAAAATCCGAACGAAATCTTATCTCTTATCTTATAGTTATTATACACAGTGTAAATTACCTAGGATAACTCAAAAAATCCAGACAAAGTGCTATACTGTGCTTTTAGATATAAAGCATAATAAGCATGAGGCAAGTAATATGGATTTTCACTTGTTCATGAATCAGATGCGACGACTCTGCATATCTGCATTGTGTGTAATACCTGTTGGTTCTGAGACAGAAAGAGAGACAAGCAGAGACAGGAAGACAGACACACAGGCAGATAGATAAGCAGAGACAGAGGTAATGAGACAGACAGACAAACAGACATGTTTATATGTAACAGTGAAAACAAACAACAGCCAAGGCAGTGCATGATCATCAAGTGTCACTTGTCCACTGCTGCACCGTCGGCAGTGGAGTGACATTCATATTACACAATTGCTTCAAGGAGTTTCACATACTCCAGCATGTCTAAAACATTGTATATACTATTTCTAGACAATAGTAGGTGACCAAGGCAGGTAAAAATGTTCAGCTGTCATTGTGTTTGTGACTATTTGAGTACTATTTCAGTACCTAATATTAGTTTCAGAACAAACATTGGCTATGAAATCAAAAGAATTACTACAAATTGTAATTATCAGAACATAAAAATTATATAAATTTAAAAAAAAAATTGAAAAAAAAAAAGTACATCGGCAACACTACTGCAAGCAGCAGGACTCCATGTTGCCATCAGGTGAGCAACGAGCACCAACTTTGTGGCCTTATATCTCTGTAAGTACTGACTAAAAAATTTTTTTAATTACTTTATGTAAAAAATGTCCTCTTCATTTAAAAAAAAAAAATTTGTTTTTTTCAAAATATTCGGAGCGCTGGGTGTTTGGGAATAATTTTTTTTTTTTTTATTATCACACTGGCCGATTCCCACCAAGGCAGGGTGGCTCGAAAAAGAAAAACTTTCACCATCATTCACTCCATCACTGTCTTGCCAGAAGGGTGCTTTACCCTACAGTTTTTAAACTGCAACATTAACACCCCTCCTTCAGAGTGCAGGCACTGTACTTCCCATCTCCAGGACTCAAGTCCGGCCTGCCGGTTTCCCTGAACCCCTTCATAAATGTTACTTTGCTCACACTCCAACAGCACGTCAAGTATTAAAAACCATTTGTCTCCATTCACTCCTATCAAACACGCTCACGCATGCCTGCTGGAAGTCCAAGCCCCTCGCACACAAAACTTCCTTTACCCCCTCCCTCCAACCTTTCCTAGGCCGACCCCTACCCCGCCTTCCTTCCACTACAGACTGATACACTCTTGAAGTTATTCTGTTTCACTCCATTCTCTCCACATGTCCGAACCACCTCAACAACCCTTCCTCAGCCCTCTGGACAACAGTTTTGGTAATCCCGCACCTCCTCCTAACTTCCAAACTACGAATTCTCTGCATTATATTCACACCACACAAAGCTCTCAGACATGACATCTCCACTGCCTCCAGCCTTCTCCTCGCTGCAACATTCATCACCCATGCTTCACACCCATACAAGAGCATTGGTAAAACTATACTCTCATACATTCTCCTCTTTGCCTCCAAGGACAAAGTTCTTTGTCTCCACAGACTCCTAAGTGCACCACTCACCCTTTTCCCCTCATCAATTCTATGATTCACCTCATCTTTCATAGACCCATCCGCTGACACGTCCACTCCCAAATATCTGAATACATTCACCTCCTCCATACTCTCTCCCTCCAATCTGATATCCAAACTTTCATCACCTAATCTTTTTGTTATCCTCATAACCTTACTCTTTCCTGTATTCACTTTCAATTTTCTCTTTTGCACACCCTACCAAATTCATCCACCAATCTCTGCAACTTCTCTTCAGAATCTCCCAAGAGCACAGTGTCATCAGCAAAGAGCAACTGTGACAACTCCCACTTTATGTGTGATTCTTTATCTTTTAACTCCACGCCTCTTGCCAAGTTTGGGAATAAATCATGTTTTTATGTAGCTGCTTTATTTTGTACTTTTTTTAATGTATTTCTTATCAATAAAAAATGTGGTGTGCTGAGCAAATTTTTATTACGAAAGTGCGGCCCAAAGAAAAGAGTTTGGGAACCACTGTTCTATGTCATCAATGTTGCTTATGTAGATCCATGTCTTAATAATAGTGCCCTCAGATATGCTGTTTTTGGCGAATTTTGGCCTAGATAGGAAAGAATGGGTCTGTGTGGTAGGTGTGCACAACATAAAAAATCCTGCCTACTTCTTTTTCATCTACAACCCTGATTGGAAACTTTTTAAAAGTTATAACAAATTAAATATAGCCTCTCCTCACTTAGCGACGTACTCGTTTACCGATGACTCAGACTTATGCTGGGCTCTTTCACCAGTATTCATACCTAAATAATGTATATTAGAGCTGATTTCCTCTATTCTGTTTATTAGAATGTAGAGTAAACTACTGTATAAACATTTAAAAATATACCAGAAATGTTATAAATGGTGCAAAGGTGACATTAAAACAATATCAAAGATGGTTGACACAAACCCACTACCATTACATATAGTATGCTCCTCACTTAATGACAAATTGGCTTACTGACGTGGCCTTAGGAATGGAACTCTGTCATTAAGTGAGGAGAGGCTGTACCTAAGAGAACAAACCATAAGCTTAGCTCTGCTCCTATGGCTACAATCAGGCAATCAAGATTGACATCTATGCAATCAAGGTGTTTGCACAGATCTCAATCTGTCCTTAGCCATTACTATATTTTAATCACTTACTTGCAGGACATAAGTGAAAAATGACTTTCATGATATTCTATTGTATATTAAGAAAATATATTTATAATGCAATAAGCTGTTGCATTTCATCATACCTGTGTTAAATGTGATCAATGGCCATAATTTTCCAGGATTTTTGCGATGCCTGTAAGAAAAAGATAACTTAGTACAATGTTGTGATAAACACACCATGACAATACCTTGGTAGATATGTTGCAACAAACACATTAAGAGATAATTCAATAGATATTAAGTCTGAGAATCTTGAACATCCTCCATTCATAAATAAGAGGTATTATCAACAGGACCCTGTCATCATGAGTGAACTTGATGGTTACATATCAGCAAAGTCTCAGCAGATGGGCATGGTGAATATGCTGGACCACCTTTCTGCTAGCACTAATAGCCTGTACAACAAATACAAATTTTGATTTCTTTGCAAAGGTTACAATGTGTTTTACATTTTACAGAATGTTAAGTATGTATGCCCAGCTGGGTTCATATTTTGCACCATACTGGTGCTGCCACCTATAGGCATACCCAGCTCAGCCTACACCATGCTTACCCTGCCTCATTTAGGCAGCTGAGTACACTCAGTCAACAAGGTCTACTCCGTCACTCTCTCCTGGGTATGGCCCTCCAGGCCTGAGCACTTAAACACACTGCCTGTGTACCAAGAACCCATATAAAGGAATGTAACCTCCAAAGCCTTATTCATCCCTGCTTGCACACCCACATAAACCCATGATTATAAATGGTGGCTAATTTCCACGATTATAAATGGTGGAAATTAGGAGGACATGTGGAGTTACTAAAAGTATTAGTCAGAGGGCTGAAGAGGGGTTGTTGAGGAGGTTTGGTCATTTAGAGAGAATGGATCAAAGTAGAATGACTTGGAGAGCATACAAATCTGTAGGGGAAGGAAGGAGGGGTAGGGGTTGTCCTCGAAAAGGTTGGAGGGAGGGGGTAAAGGAGGTTTTGTGAGCGAGAGGGTTAGACTTCCAGCAAGCACATGTGAGTGTTAGATAGGAGTAAATGGAGATGAATGGTTTTTGGGACTTGACGAGCTGCTGGAGTGTGAGCAGGGTAATATTTATTGAAGGGATTCAGGGAAACTAGTTATTATAGATTTAGCCGGACTTAAGTCCTTGAAATGGGAAGTACAATGCCTGCACTTTCAAGGAGGGGTCTGGGATATTGACAGTATGGAGGGACTTCTAAACTGTCATATCTGAGCACCTCTGCAAAGACAGTGATTATGTATGAGTGAGGTGAAAGTGTTGAATGATGATGAAAGTATTTTCTTTTTGGGGATTTTCTTTCTTTTTGGGTCATGCATTTTCTTATGCCTAACTCTATTGCTTGCTTAATACATATCCAATAGTGCAAATATTTCATAAGGTTTTTATATGAATTTGAAAGTGAAAAAAGGCTATGTTTCACTTTAGTGATTTTTTCTTTACATCAGTAGCCTGGAACCTAACCTGCTGTATATGTGGGGCCCTCCTATAGTATATTCTCACTCACTAACTTACATGCTCCCGTCCACTAGCCTGCATGCTTTCACTCATATGTTCTCACCCACAAACTATCACCTGAACATCAGTTGCAAACAGCCACACCAACACCCATCCTCAGTGCCTGTCTTAACCCATACTCCCCGCCACACATGCATGCATGCATTTCACCCACACTCACTCATACCTTCACCCTTATGGTCATCTCCTCACCCACACATTCATTCCCCCACACTTCCACCTGCTACTACACCCACACCCCTCCTAGACCTCATACTCCTCATGGACCTAAACTCTGGAACAGGTACAGAAGGTGGGGACAAACTGAAAGAGTGAAGTAGGCCTTGTCCCCTTATAAATTCTGTGGATTTGGGGCAGCAAATGGCTGACAGTTTTCACTTTGTAAACTGATTAATGCAGCACGTTCATTGAAAATACACTGCAATTTTGTAGCACTGCGTTAATGCAAAATTGTGTTAACAAATCGTGTGTTAACTTATGGCTTACTGTATACTGATTTATTTACTATATTACACTGAAAGGCAATATTTTGCCAATTCTTTATAGTTTCCTTGACTGATAATATACTTTTTATCAGATAATGTACCTGAAAAAAAGAAAAAATATAGAGAGATGCTACAAAACAGATCCCAGATTTAAGAAATATGAATTACAAAGATTGAAGATATGAAATGCCCTCATTCATTGACAAGAGTAAAAGAAGAAATATGAAAATCACATAAAATCATGCAGTAATATGAAAAAAAAGAAAAAAAAAAAACAGATACTGGTAAGGAAGATTTCTTAGCAATTAACAGGGTGAATAAAAGGCTGCAACTGCAAATGATAAAAAAAAATGCATAATGGAGAGTAGAATATACAATTTTTACAGATAGAGTGATAGACTGCTGGAATGAGATCCAAGAAGAGGAAGTGGGTGTTACAAACATAAGAACCTTTGAAAATTTGTATAAGAACTACTAGTAAATACTGAGGACAAGGCATTTTTGAATGTGATTCTGCTCTTGTAACTTGAAATAAGCAAACACAAAAAAACTTTAGAGTGACCATGAGCAGGATTTTATTTCCTGGCTGTGTGAGGATGGCAGTAACAGCCTGGCTGATCAAGTCCTGATCCACCCAGGCCTAGCCATGGACTGAGCTGTGGGGATGTTGATCTCCAAAACACCCTCCCAGTAGACCTACTGTAAAACTGAGGTATTTAATACTAACCTGAAGTATATAATAGAAAAGAGTATGAAGACAATGAGCAAGGTTATGATGATCAGCCACCAGAGGGCTAATGCTGGGGCCTCCCAGGGCTCAGCCACCACAGACTCTGGCAGCATACGCAATTCATAACTCCATTCACCTGTGGCACACAATATAATTCTAAAAGTATATTGTTTATTTTATACATTATGTTATCTGAAATTGATAAAATATTAAACATTTATGGCAACATAGGGACTATTATGGAGATCAATTATGAAAATTAAGTCTACTTCTGAAACATCAGGGCAGGTGAAATTCAGTAGTATTATAAAAGATTAAAATTTCCAATGAAAACTGTACTTGGTAAAGGAGGAGTGCCCCAAGACTTGACAGTGGCAAATATTACTCTATCTTTAACCCTTTGAGGGTCACCAGGCCCTCTCAGAGACTTGTTCTCAGGGTCGCCAAAATTTCAAAAAAAATCTTATGAAAAGATAGAGGATCTTTTCCCGATCATAATGACACCAAAAGTATGAAATTTGATGGAAAACTTATGGAATTATGCTCCTGCGAAGTTAGCGGTATTGACGATGTTTACGCATTGGTGATTTTGCCCACTTTGAGCCCTATTTTCGGCCAATTCCAGTGTACTAGTCGACAAAAATCATAACTATTTCTCTAGAACTCCGTTTTTTCTATCGAATGAGTACAAGAAACCACCCATTTACCGATTTCAAATCTCCAGTAAAGTGGTCAGAATTTAGCAATTTTGCCAATTTCACACAAATTTCAAAAGATGCCAATTTCCAAATAGGGTCCAGAATAAACAAGAAAGACCTTCCTGGCACTAAAATAACATTTCCTCTGTTCATTAGTCACATCCCCATGCCTCTTACATTTCTTTTGCTTTCCACTTTGAATTTTTATTCTCACAAAAAATAGATTTACTGTTATACAGACTACTGTATTAGTGTAGAAATGGTATAAATAATATCAGCGCACTTGTGAAAGAATATTAGATTCACCAGTTGACGTGTATGGATGCATGGCACGATTTGTTTACTTTTGAACTTTGGCAAAAAATCGAACATTTCTGCTACTTTGAGCTCAATTTCAAGGTATACTTTTCACTGTGAAACCAATCAAAATCATCTCAAATTTCTGTAATATGTCTTCCATTCTATAAAATAAGACCAGGAAAACTAGAATACAAACCCTTAATTACCATATGAAAATACAGTGCGCAGTCGCTGTTTTAAACCAAAAACACGGTCAAAGTTTTTTTTTTCTCATTACACACTGTGTGCTGCAGGATTTTTTTATACTGCGCACACTGACCACATAGACCCATTCTTTCATATGTAGGCGTACCAGCTTTCTCTTGCTAGATTTGAGGGCGCTAGAATTTATGCATACTAGTATGTCAAAAACCCTGGCGCGTAAGCCGTACTAGTACGGCCGAAACCCCAAAAAGGTTGAGAGAGGTAATAAAACTACAGGTGAAAAATACAGCAAATTATCTCGGTTTAACAATCTTGAATCTTCAAATTCCAAGAAACATTTCAGAGAAACCATCATCAACCATCTTACAGTCTATTATATTGTCAAAGCATCACATGAAGTTGTGAAACTAATTTTTACCAAACATTTCATGAAATGCTCACCAACTTTACTGATCACGTCTTTTTCAGGTTCAAGCATTTCTCTAAGGCCTAAGGCCTATGGTCACAAAAGACTAGTGCAGGAAATACAAGCATATGAAATCGCCAGCCAACTATGTATTTCCATAAAACAATGACTGAAACACGGAATATGGATTCATCCTACCTCACTACATTTATGGGATGGTACAATGCCTGGGGAATGGAAGTGGGAGTAAAGTCATTCTCTATAGATCCTATAATGACTTCCTCTCACTTACAAGGCTACCATGTGACCCTTCTCAATTGACAGACTTCCTGTCACTGAAAGACCACCTTGGGACCCTTCTCAAGGGACAGACTTCCTGTTAATGATAAGACCACCATGGGATCCTTCTCAAGGGACAGACTTCCTATTACTGATAAGACCACCATGGGACCCTTCTCAAGGGACAGACTTCCTATTACTGATAAGACCACCATGGGATCCTTCTCAAGGGACAGACTTCCTGTTAATGATAAGACCACCATGGGATCCTTCTCAAGGGACAGACTTCCTATTACTGATAAGACCACCATGGGATCCTTCTCAAGGGACAGACTTTCTATTACTGATAAGACCACCATGGGACTCTTCTCAAGGGACAGACTTCCTGTCCTTGAAGAAACAACTAAAGATGCTAGATAACAAATGGCTTAAGGTTAATACAGGCATGTTAGACAAGTACACTAATAAAAGAATGCTAGCACAGTCAAAGTTAAGGTGGTAAAACCTAACTTTTCCATGTATGAATATAAACTATTTTAATGTCAATATAAACAGAATCCTTATTTAAATTTTATTCAAGAACTAATGAGCATAGATAAAAAATTTTTTACTTTATTTTTTTTATCACACTGGCTGATTCCCACCAAGGCAGGGTGGCCCGAAAAAGAAAAACTTTCACCATCATTCACTCCATCACTGTCTTGCCAGAAGGGTGCTTTACACTACAGTTTTTAAACTGCAACATTAACACCCCTCCTTCAGAGTGCAGGCACTGTACTTCCCATCTCCAGAACTCAAGTCCGGCCTGCCGGTTTCCCTGAACCCCTTCATAAATGTTACTTTGCTCACACTCCAACGTTTTTCTTCTTCTCTTTTTTAGTAAATGTCTACAGGAGAAGGGGTTACTAGCCCACTGCTCCCGGCATTTTAGTCGCCTCATACGACACGCATGGCTTACGGAGGAAAGATTCTTTTCCACTTCCCCATGGACAATAGAAGAAATAAAGAAGAACAAGAGCTCTTTAGAAAAAGGAGAAAAACCTAGATGTATGTATATATATATGCATGTGCGTGTCTGTGAAGTGTGACCAAAGTGTAAGTAGGAGTAGCAAGATATCCCTGTTATCTAGCGTGTTTATGAGACAGAAAAAGAAACCAGCAATCCTACCATCATGCAAAACAGTTACAGGTTTCTGTTTCACAGTCATCTGGCAGGACGGTAGTACTTCCCTGGGTGGTTGCTGTCTACCAACCTACTACCTCAATTCGTATAAAATAATAGGAAAATAATTCTGATCTTTGTACAAATAATGCAAAATAATATTCAACAATACTACCTCGGTGGGAATTGGCCAACGTGTAAAAGAAAAAAAAAAATACTGATAAATTAGACACATATGCAACTCTTGGGTACCTTTATTGAGGAAACGTTTCGCCACACAGTGGCTTCTTCAGTCCATACAAAGGAGAATCATGAAGAGCAGGAGGAGAATGAGGTAATCATTCCATCAACCTTGAGTCGATGTAGTCAGTCCATCAATCTCGAATAGAAGATTGATGGACTGACCACATTGACTCAAGGTTGAGGGACTGATTACCTCATTCTCCTCCTGCTCTTCACGATTCTCCTTTGTATGGACTGATGAAGCCACTGTGTGGCGAAACGTTTCCTCAATAAAGGTACCCTAGAGTTGCACATCTAATTTATCAACATGTCAGTTCTCTGAACCATTCATCTACAAAAAAAAAAAATACTGTTATACAGTAGGACCCCCGTATCCACTGGGGATGTTCCAAGACCTACCCTGGATACCTGAAACCATGGATAGTAGCAAACCCTATGTATAAGTCATTTTGTTTACATTACATACTTGTGATAAAGTTTGATAGATTATGCAAAATAAGTCTAGAATTTGCAGTTTTTTGCTGATGGGAAGAATTTCATGCCTTCTCTTAGGCCTTCATCAACTGCCAGCATTGACTACTTTTGCACTTTGGGGTCATTATTAAGCAAAATTAAGGATTATTTTTGGGTCCCACTAAACAGTGGATAACTGAAACCGATACCAAATCCGTGGATATGGGGGTTCTACTATATTGTGAAACAATAAACACAAACCCAAGAGCTCCGTTACTGCCATTATTCCCAAATTATATTTTTCATGGGGAGTGAGTGGACAGTTGTGGAAACCACCGTAGGTGCCAGCGTCACCTATCTTGAACTCCTGTGTACTCTGAGGACAAACAATGGTCAATTGTTTTTTTTTTTTAAATATAAAACAGTATGAGGGATTTTACTGGATCACACTTTTCCTTCACTGATAACTTTCTGAAAACCAGATAAACTTAGATGTTAATGCTCAATAATATCAACATAACTTAGATTTGTTGGTTACTTAGGGGTAAAGTCTATAAAGTACATAAAAAGTCATTAGAGCCCCCAGTCAAGAATATATTAATCTTCTCATTTGGGACACCCTACCTCGGTGGGAGATGACATTGTTTTATCTCCCACCAAGGCAGGGTAACCCAAAAAGAAAGAAAATCCCCAAAAAGAAAATACTTTCATCATTATTCAACACTTTCACCTCATTCACATATAATCACTGTTTTTGCAGAGGTGCCCAGAATACAACAGCCTAGAAGCATATACATATAAAGATACACAACATATCCCTCCAAACTGCCAATATCCAGAACCCCTCCTTTAGAGTGCAGGCATTGTACTTCCCATTTCCAGGACTCAAGTCCAGCTATATAAAAATAACCGGTTTCCCCGAATCCCTTCACAAAAATATTACCCTGCTCACACTCCAACAGCTCGTTAGGTCCCAAATACCATTCATTTCCATTCACTCCTATCAAACACACTCATGCACACTTGCTGGAAGTCCAAGCCCCTTGCCCACAAAACCTCCTTTACCCCTTCCAACCTTTTCGAGGATGACCCCTACCCAGCCTTCCTTCCCCAACAGATTTATACGCTCTCCATGTCATTCTACTTTGATCCATTCTCTCTAAATGACCAAACCACCTCAACAACCCCTCTTCAGCCCTCTGACTAATACTTTTATTAACTCCAAACCTTCTCCTAATTTCCACACTCCAAATTTTCTGCATAATATTTACACCATTCATTGCTGGTTTCCCTTATTCTGTTTACAGTGGAACCTCTACTTGTGAGTTTAATCCGTTCCATGACCTTGCTCGCAACTGGATTTGCTCATTTGCAGAGTCAATTTTCCTCATTTAAATTAACTGAAATGTAATTAATCCGTTCCAGTGGAATTCTGTACTTCAATAATTTCGCTAATATCAACTCGATGGCTTATTTATACTATCTCACTTCATCTAATATGACATAATAAACAATATAAATAACATACAAACATGATATATACTCTAAAATGAATAAAATATGTCATTCATGTGGTGGTATGGCGGTGTCAGCGGTGGAACGAGAGTTTGTCTGGAGACCGGGTAAAAATACTTCATGAATAATTTTGCTAATATCATCTATATGGCTTATTTATATATCACAGTTCATCTAATATAACATAACAAACAATATGAATAATATAGAAACATGATCATATCTATTTCTGTAATATATCTTCCAGGAAAAGTGTACGGTAGGGTTATAATTGAAAGAATTAGAGATAAGACAGAATGTAGGACTGCGGATGAGCAAGGAGGTTTCAGAGTGGGTAGGGGATGTGTAGATCAAGTGTTTACATTGAAGCATATATGTGAACAGTATTTAGATAAAGGTAGGGAAGTTTTTATTGCATTTATGGATTTAGAAAAGGCATATGATAGAGTGGATAGAGGAGCAATGTGGCAGATGTTGCAAGTATATGGAATAGGTGGTAAGTTATTAAATGCTGTAAAGAGTTTTTATGAGGATAGTGAGGCTCAGGTTTGGGTGTAGAAGAGAGGGAGACTGCTTCCCGGTAAAAGTAGGTCTTAGACAGGATGTGTAATGTCACCATGAGTTGTTTAATAATTTATATAGATGGGGTTGTAAAGTAAATGCTAGGGTGTTCGGGAGGGGGTGGGATTAAATTTTGGGGAATCAAATTCAAAATGAGAATTGACACAGTATCATCAGCAAAAACTGATGATACTGTGCTTATGGGAGATTCTAAAGAAAAATTGCAAAGGTTAGTGGATGAGTTTGGGAATGTGTGTAAAGGTAGAAAGTTGAAAGTGAACATAGAAAAGAGTAAGGTGATGAGGGTATCAAATGATTTAGATAAAGAAAAATTTGATATCAAATTGGGGAGGAGGAGTATGGAAGAAGTGAATGTTTTCAGATACTTGGGAGTTGACGTGTCGGCGGATGGATTTATGAAGATGAGGTTAATCACAGAATTGATGAGGGAAAAAAGGTGAGTGGTGCGTTGAGGTATATGTGGAGTCAAAAAACGTTATCTATGGAGGCAAAGAAGGTAATGTATGAAAGTACGTATAGTAGTACCAACACTCTTATATGGGTGTGAAGCTTGGGTGGTAAATGCAGCAGCGAGGAGACAGTTGGAGGCAGTGGAGATGTCCTGTTTAAGGGCAATGTGTGGTGTAAATATTAGCAGAAAATTCGGAGTGTGGAAATTAGGAAAAGGTGTGGAGTTAATAAAAGTATTAGTCAGAGGGCAGAAGAGGGGTTGTTGAGGTGGTTTGGTCATTTAGAGAGAATGGATCAAAGTAGAATGACATGGAAAGCATATAAATCTATAGGGGAAGGAAGGCGGGGTAGGGGTCGTCCTCGAAAGGGTTGGAGAGAGGGGGTAAAGGAGGTTTTGTGGGCGAGGGGCTTGGACTTCCAGTAAGCGTGTGTGAGCGTGTTAGATAGGAGTGAATGGAGAAGAATGGTATTTGGGACCTGACGAGCTGTTGGAGTGTGAGCAGGGTAATATTTAGTGAAGGGATTCAGGAAAAGAGGTTATTTTTATATAGTCGGACTTGAGTCCTGGAAATGGGAAGTACAATGCCTGCACTTTAAAGGAGGGGTTTGGGATTTTATCAGTTTGGAGAGATATGTTGTGTATCTTCATATGTATATGCTTCTAAACTGTTGTATTCTGAGCACCTCTGCAAAAACAGTGATAATGTGTGAGTGTGGTGAAAGTGTTGAGTGATGAAAGTATTTTCTTTTTGGGGATTTTCTTTCTTTTTTGGGTCACCCTGCCTAGGTGGGAGACGGCCGACTTGTTAAAAAAAAAAAATCTTCCGTTACCTGGGGTTTACCTGGAGTGTGTTTCGGGGGTCAACGCCCCCGTGGCCCGGTTTGTGACCAGGCCTCCTGGTGGATCAGAGCCTGATCAACCAGGCTGTTACTGCTGGCTGCACACAAACCAATGTACGAGCCACAGCCCGGCTGGTCAGGAACCGACTTTAGGTGCTTGTCCAGTGCCAGCTTGAAGACTGCCAGGGGTCTGTTGGTAATCCCCCTTATGTATGGTGGGAGGCAGCTGAACAGTCTTGGGCCCCTGACACTTATTGTATGGTCTCTTAACGTGCTAGTGACACCCCTGCTTTTCACTGGGGGGATGTTGCATCATCTGCCAAGTCTTTTGCTTTCGTAGTGAGTGATTTTCGTGTGCAAGTTCGGTACTAGTCCCTCTAGGATTTTCCAGGTGTATATAATCATGTATCTCTCCTGCCTGCATTCCAGGGAATACAGGTTCAGGAATCTCAAGCGCTCCAGTAATTGTGGTGTTTTATCTCCGTTATGCGCGCCGTGAAGGTTCTCTGTACATTTTCTAGGTCAGCAATTTCACCTGCCTTGAAAGGTGCTGTTAGTGTGCAGCAATATTCCAGCCTAGATAGAACAAGTGACCTGAAGAGTGTCATCATAGGCTTGGCATCCCTAGTTTTGAAGGTTCTCATTATCCATCCTGTCATTTTTCTAGCAGATGCGATTGATACAATGTTATGGTCCTTGAAGGCGAGATCCTCCGACATGATCACTCCCAGGTCTTTGACGTTGGTGTTTCGCTCTATTTTGTGGCCAGAATTTGTTTGTACTCTGATGAAGATTTAATTTCCTCGTGTTTACCATATCTGAGTAATTGAAATTTCTCATTGTTGAACTTCATATTGTTTTCTGCAGCCCACTGAAAGATTTGGTTGATGTCCGCCTGGAGCCTTGCAGTGTCTGCAATGGAAGACACTGTCATGCAGATTCGGGTGTCATCTGTAAAGGAAGACATGGTGCTGTGGCTGACATCCTTGTCTATGTCAGATATGAGGATGAGGAGCAAGATGGGAGTGAGTACTGTGCCTTGTGGAACAGAGCATTTCACCGTAGCTGCCTCGGACTTTACTCTGTTGACTACTACTCTCTGTGTTCTGTAGTGAGGAAATTATAGACCCATCGACCGACTTTTCCTGTTATTCCTTTAGCACACATTTTGTGCACAATTACGCCATGGTCACACTTGCCGAAGGCTTTTGCAAAGTCTGTATATATTACATCTGCATTCTTTTTGTCTTCTAGTGCATCTAGGACCTTGTCGTAGTGATCCAATAGTTGAGACAGACAGGAGCGACCTGTTCTAAACCCATGTTGCCCTGGGTTGTGTAACTGATGGGTTTCTAGATGGGTGGTGATCTTGCTTCTTAGGACCCTTTCAAAGATTTTTATGATATGGGATATTAGTGCTATCGGTCTGTAGTTCTTTGCTGTTGCTTTACTGCCCCCTTTGTGGAGTGGGGCTATGTCTGTTGTTTTGGTAACTGTGGGACGACCCCAGTGTCCATGCTCCCTCTCCATAGGATGCAGTTCTTGATGAACACGGAGTTCCATGAGTCTGGCCCTGGGGCAGAGTGCATGGGCATGTCATTTATCGTCTCTTCGAAGTCATTTGGCATCAGGATAACATCAGATAGGCTTGTGTTAACCAAATTCTCTGGCTCTCTCATAAAAAAATTCATTTAGATCTTCGACTCTCAGTCTGGTTAGCGGCTTGCTAAAAAACCGAGTCATATTGGGACTTGAGTATCTCACTCATTTCCTTGCTGTCATCTGTGTAGGACCCATCTTGTTTAAGTAGGGGCCCAATACTGGACGTTGTTCTCGACTTTGATTTGACATAGGAGAAGAAATACTTTGGGTTTCTTTCGATTTCATTTATGGCTTTTAGTTCTTCCCGCGATTCCTGACTCCTATAAGATTCCTTTAGCTTAAGTTCGATGCTTGCTGTTTCTCTGACCAGTGTCTCCCTACACATTT